TAGCACATAGCCATTGGTGAATATCATAGAGATATTTATTCAATGAAGTTTCGAGAACATGTAGGTTTTTATGTGCAAGAAAAAGATTAGAGTCATCGGCAAAGAGATGGAAATCCAGTGATTTGGCCGAATTACAGAAATCATTAATAAAAATGAGAAATAACAAAGGCCCAGTACTGAACCTTGAGGAACGCCAGTGCATACTTCTTCTAATTCAGAAGAAGCACTGCCTACTGAGACAAACTGTTTTCTATTATCCAGGTAAGATCGAAACCACTGCTTTACAACACCCCTTATTCCATAATGTTCAAGTTTTTGTAATAAAATATAATGGTTTACAGTGTCAAAAGCCTTGCTTAGGTCAAGAAAAATACCACAACTATAGAGTTTATTTTATTAACATTAAATTTGAATTCTGAAAGACCAACAATATCAAATTGGCACTGCACGTCTGACAAGAGACAAGTTAGATTATCAAAATTAGCTGCTAAACTTCGAATATTACAATGCAATACAGAAAGTGAATCTTTGGAAATTAGATTGCCTATTTCATGATTATTCACAAAATCGTCATTTGCATGATAATTAAAGTTTTTCTGAGGCGTAATGTTCCTTTCAATATCAAAGTCCGATAGATTTGGGATATTGTTTAGATTTAAGATATTTCAAGTCTAGGTAATGACGTTAAATAAGAAATATCATTCCTGTCACACATCGTTTAAATAAAAAGCAATAATGAATAATTTAATATGTAGGGTCTTTTAAAGTGTCTATGACATGAAAATCTCGAATTGATTTTTTTTCGATATATTGAAAGATCTATATGTATAAAACAACCTGGCAAAATTTCATGTTAATTGGTTTGATATTCTTTAAACTAAAACGATTTAAAGTAGGATAAATTGTCAGTAATTGTGCGAATTTCTTTCGCGCGGTCAATCAAGGTATCATATGGCCTGTGACGTAGGCGTATGGACATATCAGTATCACAATAGGGCCATTTATACGTGTCAAAATAAGTCGCGACTTACATAAGACGCGACTTAAATAAGTGGAGTTATCGCATAAATGGTTCTCTACGGCTTTGGTCTTATTTATTTGCTATAGCTATAATGTTGTTTTGGTTGTTTTTGTTTTAATATGCAAGGCATTAAATTTACGTTGTTTCAAGTTTCTGGCATGTGTATTCAGACTTTTTGTCCAAAATTTCTTATTTAAGACGCGACTTAAATAAGAACAGCTAAAAGACCTGTTCAATGTAAGACGCGTCTTATCCAAGACGCGTCTTACATAAGAATTTTGTACCTTTTATACGACAAACTCGCGTCTTACTTAAGTCGCGTCTTATGTAAGTCGCGACTTATTTTGTTCCGTATAAATGGCCCTAATATGAACTCTTACTATATATTGGCCTTAGTTTTAGTTATATTTTACAATTATTTCATTTTCTCATCTTCATTCAGTTTTGAGTAGATAGTGATTGTCTTACTAAGGTCGCTATCTCGACATAAACACTGCCTTAGGGTTAGGTGTCATTTTGTAATAAATATTTCATGGTCTTTCAGTAATTGTCTGCATGTAATAATGATAAAACGAACATTAGACCTTTGTTTGAATACATATTGCATGTATGTTCGTTTGTGAAAGTCAGAACTTTCAGTGCATGCATTATATAGTATTATAGTGCACGCATCTTTCAGTGCATATATATATATATATATATATATATATATATATATATATATATATATATATATATATATATATATATATATATATATATATATATATATAAATATGATTTACATTCAGTAGTGTTATTGAAATCAGTGTGGTTTGTTCAAGGAGTTCAATTTAATACCGCATCCATGACAAACTCTCAAATTCTCCCATTTTTCAATCTCGACAACAACATCATCCCTTTGCATGCTATCTTTAAGAATCTTCTTAAGAGCCCCCACATTATTTTCGTGATTTGATGATCCCCACCTACCGAGTACTACTTCGGCAATCCCCATTCCTCCCATTCTTTCACATTTCTTTTCAATACATGCAGCCGTTGTTTGGTCGAAGCAACCTAAAGCGCTCATAAGTGGTTTCTTGCTACGATCAGTTAAGTCGAGTAGTTTGCAAATTTCGTCAAAACAACCAAATTCGATTTTACCAATGGGCCATTTGTCCCGGTCACTTGAAAGCGGTGTTTCGTCTTTTGAATCACAAGAACTACACATAGGGCTTTCTTTCGATGACTTCTTGCTTTCCTGTGTTGGTTTTTGTGAACCAATTGTGTCTATAATAAAAGACAAGAAAGAATTTTCTTCAGAAATTTTTTTATTCCAACCATGAAACATTGTTTCCTAGCCATGTTTCTCGAAGCTGAGCAAACCAGGAAACAATATCTGCTACAGCCTTCTTCTCGAAAGTGGACAAACAAGAAACAATTGTTTCCGCTAAAAAACTCGCATGGAGAAACAAAATATGTTTCTGAATTTATTTGGAAATATGTTTGCTTCGTGAGAACTGTTTCCAAAGCTGGATAAACAGTGAAACATTCAAGAGGTTCAAGTACGCGGCAATAACCATTAAGGTACGTTTACACACAACGATTAATCGGGCCGATTTAGATTTTAGCTTTAAATAAACGATATTTTCACGTGCACCTCCTCCCATCTCATCTACTGCATCTCATGCAGGAGACGTGGCATGCTTTATATTGGAGAAACTGGAAGACCTTTCAGGACAAGGTTTGGTGAGCATCGGCGTGCAGTCAATGCCAATGATGCCAACCAGCCTGTTTTTAAATCTCGCAATCACAGTGTTTCAGATATGGAAATTCGAGCCCTCTGCATGTCCCATTTCTGGTAGCAACGCTAGCCGCAAGACATGAAATGCGCCTCATTTCCAAACCTGGCACTGTCCACTCCAATGGCATTAATGAACGTTTTTCCTATGTTTAACTGTCTTCGCCTGTCAAAAGCAGACATTGACAGTACTTTTAATTCTTATCTTATTCCATACTTGTTTCATATATTTTGTTGTTTGCTGTATAATTGCATTAATATATTCTGCAATGTGATTTACATTTTTTTATACTATGTTTTGACTAAATTCATCTGATTGGTTTATTTTTTGTCACGTGATCGTTTTTATATTCTTAGTGCAAAAGCTCATGTCATTTTCCTGACCCCCGCTAGTAACTCCAGACCTTGTGGCCTTCGCTTAAAACGTCGAAATTCTTCTTATATATTTTTCAAGTATAGTTACATCCCTACAAACGAAAGCTTGTATCCTAAATTTGGCGCTGCCTACCCTGGCAAAGAAAGTTCAAGATTATATTTGAAAAATATGCTGTCAACGTCATCTGACGACATCGTCAGCTGACAACATTCGTCATTAACATTCGGCAAAACCTGAAATCGTCCCGATTAATCGTTGTGTGTAAACGCATAGGCAGCCCAAAAATGCGTGGTATTTGTCTCTTTTATGCAGTCTCATAGATTGGAAAGGTTTTGAAAGCTCCCGCGTGAAAATCTTTCATGCTCGCGCGTACATATAGGAGTCTACTTTATTTTCACGCGCGAGCTTTCAAAACCTTTCCAAGCTATGAGACTACATAAAAGAGACAAATACCAAGCATATTTGGGCTGCCTGTGCGTTTACACAAAATGTTGTTCAGATTGCATTTTTGACACACGGATGTTGCAAAGCACATAGCGAGTCTTTGTGGCAAGTCTTTGTGGTTGCAAATCGGGTCTTTCAGAACCGGAAATCGGGCTGGAGCACGACAGATGGCAAAATTTGCACGGTGTTCGTTCGTTTATGATTGCATTTATTTTTCCTATCCTACCCCCCTGTCGCCAACATTTCCGGGAAAAATGTTTTAGGTGCCCTTTTCATACCAAAAGTACCCCATCGAAACCTGTGCCCCCCCCCCCCCCCCCCA